CATAATCCACTAAAGATCGCAGGCTATGGTCTGGATAGGTTAATTAATGACTAATTAATAATTTAGATAACATTTCAGGCGCAAAGAAAGACCTGCGATAGACAGATTTAGCTCTTGCATAATGTATGTTTAATGAATAATCTTTGTACTAAAATGTTTTTCATAAAAGTACTTTTGATTGTGTTTTGTATTAAACTCTGTATTTAACCTTCATTGTGGAACTTTAAAGATAAACTGAACAGACAATACAAAGAAGAATTATTGACTAAAATGTATTGATAGGTGTTGTTTAGAAATTTGTATTTCATGGTAAGATTTTATGTCACATTGTGTACTGTGTATTCCAGGATTTATGTCTCAGGGTTACTGTTTATTCCAGGATTAAATCTTATGTCACAGAGTGTGCTGTTTAATCCAGGATTTATGTTTGTTCATTCCTGGAGTTTTACGTCCCCTTCCACCAAGGGCGATTTATGTCTCATGGTGTACTGTGTATTGCACGATTAGATTTTATGTCACATCGTGTACTGTGTATTCCATAATTTGAGTTTATGTCACATGGTGTACTTTTCCTTAAATGTATGTTTCAAGGTTAGAATTAGATTTTATGTCATATTACAGCACTTTGTGTTCCATGATTAAATTTTATGTAACATCGTGGGAGGAAGTGTGCTTTCAATGATAACATTATCTCTTTCTCCTTGCTTAGATTGCATGGTGAACTGTTTGTTCCTTGAGTAGATTTTGTATCACATTGTACAAAACTGGAGTAACATCATGGCAGGAAGTGTGCTTTCAATGATAACATTATCTCTTTCTCCTTGCTTAGATTGCATTGTGAACTGTTTGTTCCTTGAGTACATTTTGTATCACATTGTACAAACATGAAGTAAGATTTTTTGTCACATGACACATCATGAAGTTGTGTTTTTAACTGTAAAATGGAAATGGTAGACTGATAATAATTAGAAAAGCAATCAGAACAAAATAGCTTCTATTTACCACCTGCACTGAAATATCAGGTTTCAAAATTTGGTTATTATCTAACTTCAATGATTATATATATACAAATTATTTTACATTTCCATCTTCAATATAATAAGCTGTAGTTTTTTTAAAGGTAATATTAGTATGTTTTGTTCGATGTAGGTGCAAGTTGTTTATATAATGATATATTACTTACATCTGTCCAGGTAATATGAGTGGTCCATAGTGGAATATTTTATATATTATGACTGTGTCTGTGTACTATGATATTAAACTTATATAATACTCACTTTAGCTTACTAAATGTCAAACTCTACTAATATGAGTAAAAGGTGAAGGGGATGATAATATCAAGAGATCTCTTTCATCTTTACCATATTTTCTCTTCTCATTTAATACATTTATTGTTCATCATAGATTCCTTCTTATACATTCATATACAGTACATTTGCGATGGGAATTTAAAGACACCAGTCAATTTTAACAAAATGTGTTAAACATCTAATCTATTTTATTACTATATATTTAATTTCTTCTTTTGACTTGTTTTGGAACACCATTACATGTACATGCTTGACTTTAAAATGATAACATTTTTTAAGTGATACAGTTTATTTAATATTTCATATTAATAATATTGAGACTCCACCCATTTTAAGAATTCAGAGAATGTATTTATATATTTTACTCTAATTACTAAATAAACACTTCATTTTGTTAATTAATATAAAAATATTAATTTTGATATACATTATACATGCTAAGAAAAAAGGCGGCAACTGCACAATGAAAAAAAAAACAACCTAAGTACCGTAGATGGGGTGTAACCTTTCCTTCTTAAATTGATAAAATGTATTTCGAGGATAAAAGATTTATTGCATAGAGATTTGCTATTTTTTTATGGACTTATGTTTTCTTAGAATATATGCACAAAGTGTTGATTAATGCCGAACCTGTTCCCAATTGTTTGGTAAATTCAAATAAGATTGTTGGACTTTCTTTTCTTATCTCGACAGTTTTAATGACTTCTTTGCATAAAGTAATGTGGTTGTGTGTGCAATGGATTCCTTGAATAAAGAAAACAATTCAAATTCTTTTCTTGATATTTGAAAATAACAAAATATCTCAAGTAATGGATTAAAAATACAGTTGGCCTCATAGAAAGGGGCATGTAGCTCTATTCTTTGGAATGTAACCTTGTATAAAGGATAGGATGACAAGGAATTGTGGACCACAGAGGTGACGGCAATATATAACCAGAAAAAAAATTTGTTTTTATTTTGTTTAATATTTCTAAAAAACCAAAATTCACAAAACATGAAAAAAAAAGTTTCAAATTTTGTACACGATGCCCAGAAATTTTGACTTTGTCTTTTTGTCTTCTCCTTCTCCAAAATGCATCTCTAAATTAATCGGGCGGTGGATGGTCGAATGGTTAGCATGTGCGCGCTGTATCATAAATTCTGTCATTGAGACAACTGGCATGGTTTCGATTCCCTGGTTGTACGTGACAAGGAGTAGGGTCGCCTGTCCGTTCTCGTGGGTTTTCTCCGGGTCCTCCGTTTTCCTCCCACTGCTAAAGACACATCGCGCAAGCGAATTATGGAAATAAAATTGAACCATATGTTAGTCCCGAAATGACCTAGTTTGTGTCGAGTGGACGTTAACCACAATTTCTCTCTCTCACTAAATTAATCTCTTATTGGTCTGGCTAAAATCAACTTTGTACCCACTGACTATTTATTTAACGTTTTTCTTCAGTTTTGTAGGTAGGGTACTTGGTTCATTCAAGTCATCAAATTAGTAGAAAGGCCTCAAAAGAAGTACAACCATTCTTCTGATCTGCTGCACACATGTGTAAACAGACAGGAACAAATATTATGAAGCAAAATATTCATCTATTTTTTTTCTTATTTGTAAATTATCATAAAAGAAGTAAGAGAAAACAAGATATCTGAATGCACAATGCACTTCCTAGACATGTGGTTAGCACTATAACACACATTGATGTCATTTTCATTGAAAATAATATGAGAAAACTAAATAGATCAGGGTAAAAAATAAATTTTGAAAAGCAATGTACATATAAAATGGTAGTGACTAGGTGCACAAGAAAAAAAAAACCCTATTCACTTTGCCGATCTTACAAACTAGACCTTAACTTAAGCATACCTTGTCAAATTTAGCTGCATCAAGAAAAATTGAAAAGGTATTAATCCTATTAGTGAATACTTAAAAGATTTTCTTGTTACTGCAAGGTTGAAATCAAAACTGGCCATCGTTTAAGTAGACTGAGTGATGTTTTGTATAAAATTATCATTAGGATGCTGGGATTCCTCTGGTATAAATGATAAGTTTTCCTATAGTTTTACCTGGGACTATAAGGGGGAGAGAAGCTCTGATTACTATTTGAAGAAAGATATTAGAATATGTCCATCCATATTTTATTAACACATATATTACCAATAGAAACCAGGATGTTCACTGCAAGACCAATTAGAGTTTCTTGTTCCCCAAATGGTATCTGTTTAAACCACTTCAAATTGGAAATGTTTAAACCAATTCAATAAATTGTTTATCGTCATGAATTGACATAGCATTGTTTGAACTTTTGGATGACGTGATACCAAATTATTTGTACAAATCTGTATTAGTTTATAAAATATTAGATATGAAAGACAAATATTGTTGACATTTTAGCATAAATACAGGATTTCAGAATGTTTTTTTTGCCACATAAAATTATTGAGGTAGTCAATTGATATTACTATGTTAATTTACATATTATAGTCATTCTGAAAATACCAAATATGTCATTTTATGACAATAAACATTTTCTTTTTTGTGGTATAAAGTTAAACCATTTTTAGAGTCCCCAAAAAAGAAGAGATAAAACGGTCTTCAAAGGAGAAACAGATACTTAGATGATTTTACAGGAGCTTCTGCTACCTTCATTCTAGGTGGTTGAGTGGCCGAATGGTCTATCATTGAGTCAAGTGGCGTGGTTTTGATTCCCCGCTTGTACGTGACACGGAGTTGGGTCGCCTGTTCAACCTTGTTGTTTTTCTCTCCAGGTCATCTAGTGTTTTCTGACTTCTAAAGACCCCAACGCGCATGCAAATTATTGAAATAAAATTCAACCATATGTTAGTCCCGAAATGACCTAGTTTGTGTCGAGTGGACATTAAACCACATTTCTCTCTCTCCCACCCTCTCCTTCATTCTAGGGTTTACCATATAACATATACAGTATTTGTAAATATACATGAATTTTCTTTCGAATCAGTTGATTGACATTTATAACCATGTCACATGTGGAGTTTTGTATGATTAACAGTTCTTTAATGAAAATACACTGGTCACAATTCTATGGAATGCAATTAATGTTTATTACTGAGTGTGGTAAAGAATAGGCTTCTCACGCTCAGTAAGAAATAGTAATTGTGACCTGTTTATTTCCATTTCAGTTACTTAAATGCCATTGAAACAATTTTCTTTGATGAAATATTAAAATGTGATGATATGAAAAGAATACATTTAATGGATTTAATAAGCCTTTTACAATGAATTGTTTATTCTGTGTATACTATAATAATGTGCTGTCATATTCATCCTTATATCATGTATCCTGTTTATGATTTACATTGTCAAAACCTTTTGTTTGTTATTAAAGTTCACAGCAGAAATATTTCAATTAAAAGAAAACAATTCCATGTTATTAAAAATAATGTGTGAACAAATTTTGTGTGTTTGTATATAATGGAGCGTTAAAGACAATAAGTTAAAATGTAATTTGAGTATTGTTAATACTTGACACACATGTTTCTCGATAGCCTACTTAATGCTAGTTTTATTTAAGACTATACTATTATTATTGGTACAGCATCCTTCTCATATTTAATATAACAAAGAATCACAGTTCCTGACATTTCCTTATCTTCATTTGTAAAGGTTATGTCAGTGCCCCTTTTATTTGTTCAAAAATGGTTAAATCTGTTTTTCTTTCTTGACAGATCACTGATATTGGACTATACCATGTAGTTTTAAGAGGGTATACAGATAAAAGCACCACTATGCGGCCACATGTAGATCAGTTTTATTTGCTGGTAAATGTTGCCCTGAAGTAGGGTGTTTTATAGAAAACTGATTTCAGTATCATGGAAACAAAATATTCTATATACAGTTACAATTTGACTGAAGGTAAGTTTATTAATTTATTAATTTTGTGAATACTTAATAACAAAAGAAGCCCAAGTTTACACAGGTTGCAGCAGTATTTCTAAAAGTTAATGCATCTTGAAGAGTCCTGTGTTAACATAAATTTGTATTTTCAATCAATACTCTACCATAAATGAATGCAATTGGACTTATTGGTGATAGGTAGCATTTAACTTCTTAAAGGACCATATTTAATTCAGTCATTATCACATATGTGATTGAACTGGTTAAACACGTTCCAAATATAATTTTAACTCAGAGATCATTGCTACGATAGATGCGTTATGATGATTTCAAGAAAGGGAATTGACAAACGCAAAAGGGAAACACAAGTTATCCTTCTATATAACTTGTCTTACATACAGTATCTATACTATATGCTGTCTGTGGTATATTTAACCTCTTATTTTATAAAAATATGTTTTTAGTAAAAATATTTGAAGGAAGAATAAAGTAGAAAATGACAAATAAGCTGGATATGCAATATGTTTATGTTGGGATTTAATTTTCAGAAAAGTACAAAATTTCTATGAAATCTCTTATCTTCTGGTGAACTAATTGCCTTTGATAAATACAAAAATTTGATAAAAAGATCAATGTTTTCTTGGATGTGCTCATTTTTGTTTTATCTCTTTTTGAGAAAGAACAGGTTTTGAGGTCATCTTAACCAAAAGTGTTTATTTAACTGACATTAATTGTAAACATATTGATCTATATGGAAACCTAAACAGTTTGTCATCAAAGCTATTTCAAGTCCTATTCTTTGTAGGAAGAATAAAATCCTTTAAAACTCTATTTGTACATTAGCATTTCTGACATGGAATTTTTCTGAGATATTCTAAGGGATGCCTCAAGAAATTTCTAAAGAGCAAGTTTGATTGAATACTTATAAGTTTTAGGAGTGATTGCTGAAACTCTCTGCCAGTGTGTAAGGTTGTGGTTGTATATTGCTATCAATCTGTCATTCACATTCTATTAAAAAAAAATAGAGGCTATGATAATCCAACATCATATTTCCCTATATACAAAATCTTGTGGGAGCCTCGGTGGCTCAGTGAGTAAGACAGTGACTCATTAACCTGGGGGTCCCATGTTTGATCTTGGTTTTGGCCGAGAAAGTTCATTGGAATTTCTACTTTGGTTCTCCCTTGTCAGTGGTGCAGACTGAGGGCCTGGCAAGGGACAATGTATAGTCATTCAGAGGGGACGAAAAACCCAGGTCCCGTGTATGCATTGGCATGCATGCAAAACAACCCTTGATAAGTGGAATTCGAAATGAGAGTAGATCGTAGTGCAAGATTTCCCTAATGGCATATGCCTGCCTTCATTTGCCCAGTCGATGTAAGACGTTAAATCCCATTTTATTTCACAAAATCTTATCTTCACCAAAGAGGCTTTGATTATGATGTGATATTTCTGAAACTGATGTTAGTTGTCTATTCTATTAAAAGGAAGAATCCTTTTGATAGTTAGTGATTTGCAATAATAATTGCCAGAGTTATTACCCTTTGTTGCTAAATCTTTTTAGTACCATAGAATAGAGGTTTTAATTTTCAACAATTTTTTATAGTTTTCAGAATAACAAATTCGACCCTGTTATGAAATCTTGTTCACACCTTAAGAGGCTTTAATTATGATCTGATCTTTTTCAAATTGTTTAGTTGCCTGGCAGCCTATATTTTATATTACTATATGTGACCTGAGGTATCCCGGCTATTCACTGTATGAACTGTTTAGTGGATAGTTTGTAAAACCCAGTCTAAGTGGTCTTTACCTGTAACCACCATAAGGGAACCACAGTGAGTAAGACGTTGACTCGCTAACCGGGAGGTCCTGTTTTCGAGTCCGGTATTGGCAGAGAATGTTTATTGTGATTTACCGGCGAGCTTCCCCACCCACCCCCTTGTCAGTGGTGCAGACGGGGATGAAAAACCAAGGTCCTGTGTACACACTGGTGTGCACGTAAAGGATCCTATGGAAGTTGGAATTTGATATGAGATTTGGCTGTATGGTGTATGCCAGTCTTCATTAGCCCATTTGGAGAAGAACAGTAGGATGTTAAACCCCATTTCATTTTATTTTATGACAACCATAAGACAAAAATATTCTGTTTTTAGAGAAAGATGAAGAGATTCAGTCTTTTAATTGAGTAGAAATAATTTGTTGGTGTGATTTACTGTTTTGTTGTAATTGGTTGTATATGTACAGATATTTTACCTTGATTTATCATCTGTACTTAATCATTTGACTCAGTTCGTGAAATTATCAAATAATATATGCTACGTGTTATTATCATTTTAAGAGAGTACTTTACTCTTAGATTTATGTCGGTGCAAATGTGTGATTTGTGGTAGATCTACATTGGATTAAATAATTTCTCTCTGACAGCACATTATGATAGTCACAGTTAAAATACAAACACTTAAATACAAACTTTGTGTCCGGAAATAGCAATTAGAAATAATGAGTATAATTGAATCGACTAATTGGGTTTGTGTGATAAAAGCCATCACAACCTTATCAATGAGCACAAAATAAATGATAAGCAAAGTCAGATGAGATTTTTGTTGGATTATTCGTAGGATTGATATATAATTCTGTATTTAAACCATTTGGTCTTCTTATGGAAGTTTAAAATGGGCACTGTAGGTCGTAATGTTTTGATGAATAAAGAAGGAACTTCCAGGAATTATGGTACTTTGCTTAGTATGAGTTAAGGTTGTGTACAGTTATTCTTAAGAAGAACAAGAGAGGGGCAGATTCTCCTTGGGATTAATGGTGCTGCATCACATGAATCTGTCTTTACTTCAGCAGAAGCAATAAATATAGGCCTTATTGTCTAGGTAAATATAGAGAAATTGACAGTTCAAAGTGGCATCCACAATAGTTTCAAGACACTCCAGAGGCTATAGTTATCATCTGATTGACTTAATATTTATACACAATGTAATTACATGAGACAAAGAAGCCCATTTCCGATAACTATTTGAAATTTATATATTTGCAGTGTTAAAGTTCATTAGACAAAGAAACGGATAATTAGTTTTGGAGTTATTGCTCTCGTTCATTTTTAAAAAAATCCTGTGGCTAAAGCTATTATCCAATGAATTTGAAATGTTCATGAGAAGAATCTTATTGATTATCAAGGATTTCCTACAATTCAAACAGTTTGTTATCATCTGATACTGGTACATATTATGTATACCGGTAGTAAATGTTATTACTAAGGAAAACTAGAAACCAATCAAATTTGAATTATTTCTGATAATTACTTAATGGGTTATTACTTTGGATAACTTTTTACCTACAAAAGAATAAATGTGTGAGGCTTGTGGACTGCACAGATGGCTCTGTGTATGTTTTGTGATGGCTTTGTAGTCTATCTTTTTAAATTAAAATATAGCCTAATGCCAAGAGCTGACATAGTATTTTTAATCTTTTGTTCATGTTCAACTCACTTATATTACATACCTTGCTGTAAGAAAATACAAGGACAGCAAATGATCACTATTCCTATATTTTATTTGAAGATTGGTTCAACCTGCAAGGTATGCAGTTTGCATTTCATTTAGAACAGATCTGAGCAGGGTGGATGGTTGTACTCCTATGTTTTATATTTGTGCATAAATCATGTTTAGGTGAGGTTGAGGTCTGCTTCAGAACACATGGTATGACTTCTTTTCTTGTACATGGGGACAGTTAAATACTTGTGGGTTTTGACAAATTATTTCAGACTGTTTGGATTGGATTTTAAAACCATTGTTATATTACATTGTCTTGAAGTAATTTCCTCTAGAACTGCACTCAATAGATCGGAAATAGTAGGTCTGTTTTGGATATTTTAACATTGTATTCTGTTACAAAAATCTCTATTCAGTGAATTTATTGTCGACATATCTACACATATACATGTATGTGGGTGTAACAAATTTCACTAGATAATAACATAAAGTTATGAAGAATTATTTGGATTGAAATCTTCAAAGATTATTACTCACACCCACACTGTCATAAAAGAATTTTATACACCCAATTGTAATGTAAAAGCCTCTGTGGTCAATCAAAAAGAAACAGACATGATAATAATACCATATAATTTTCCTGTTTACTTTAAAGATACATTCTCACAAAAGTATTTATACAGTAGTTATTTCCAATAAAAGTATGGCAAATTTTGTATAAATGGAAAATAGATAGAGATGCCCAATCTTACTAGAAAAATACCAGATTCCATGAAAAATATCCATTAGGCAAGCAAGCACTGGGCAAAAATATCAGTGTATCACTAACTGGCTTATTGTGTGCCAGCTTGACTTAGGGAGCGGTTGTTAATTCTTGATCGAATGGTTCGGCGGTTTGAGGAACATTAAGGGGATAAGGCGTACAACAGACTCTGCAAGAAGTTGTCAGAAGATAATCGAAGAATTTACTTAAGCTTCAATATGGTAAGTAATGACAAATAAATTCTGAAAATGGACCCTCCCTCAATCAAGGTACATGACAAACATCTTGGAGTATTTCCTAGTGAATACAATGTTTTGAGAGGGATTTAATTAGTTTGAATATGTTTTTAGTCAAATATATATCACCCAGTTTGTACGAGGGAAGGCATCTTAAAAAAAAAATAATTACATTTTAATGTCTTTGATTTCTGGGGACACCTACTGGAGCCGCCTTCTACCACAATACACTAAAACACCCTCTCTTTAGACTCCCGGTCATTCACATTGTTATCTCAAACTTTACTCTAATCCAGTGGTTAACCTTTTGATGTGCTAGTGCCCCTTGAGCTTTCATAATATTTCCCTGTACCCATGTCTAAAATGACTTACGAAAATAAATGAAACTAGAACTGCGAAGCAGTAATGACGGGTTTCACTGGTGCCACGTTACCCTTGAACTCATATCACTTCCAGTACCAATGGAACCGATAAACAGATTTCCACATAAACATTGCAGACATGTTATAAAATGGACGCAGA